GCGGCAGCTGAGCGCTTCAAGGAGATCAACAGCGCCCACGCCACGCTGAGCGACGAGGACAAGCGCCGCCTCTATGACCAGTATGGCTCCCTGGGGCTCTATGTGGCCGAGCAGTTCGGTGACGATGCCGTCAAGCACTACTTCCTCATGTCCAAGTGGTGGTTTCAGAGGGGGCCCTGCTGCCGCGGCCCTGCCCAGCCTGTCCTCCGTGCAGGGCGTCGCCGGGGCCACCATGATGGGGGCCTGGCTGCTGGCAGGACTCGGGTGGTCTCACAGGGGCTGCCATCCCCTCCTCTGCAGGCCCTGGCTTTGTGCTGTGGTGCTCTCACCTGCTGCTGCTGCTGCTGTTGCTGCTTCTTCTGTTGTGGGACATGCTGCCCGCCGAAGGAGGACGAGTCCTACAAGTACGTCGACCCCAAGGACCTGGAGGCGCAGATGCGCGCGGAGGACAGTGGTGAGTCGGGCTGTCTGCATCTGTCTCGAGCCCCAGCAGCTGAGACCACCTGGCTTTGTCTTGTGTGGGGCTCTGGTGGGGCTCTCCCCGTCTCATCTCACGTGGGGGTTGGAGCTCTGGCTTGAGGCTCAGATCTGACTTAGCTGCATCTCTTGCTTTAACAGCCAGCCCTCAGTGTTTCCTGTCTGGACCAGGGCTGGTGACGGCGGTGGAGGGAACCACTGCACAGACCATGGGGCTGCCTTTTCCTTCCTTGTTTTCCCCTGGGAAGGGCTCCCTGGAGCCCCTGCAAGGGTCTGCGGCTGAGAGACACTTCGGCCCATGCCCTCCTGGGGAGGGAGCATGGGGAGAGCAGCTGTGCTCCAGGCTGGCTTTGTTCCCTGGGCGCTGGCCATACTGGTGTCTACGGGGACTGCCACTGGGTCACTTCTGCAGGTTTCCGTGGGGCGGAGGGCACTGCTGCATGGCTGTGTGCTGGTTAGAGGCTTGGGAGCCTTGGTCTGTGGGAGCCTTCATGAGGGTGTTGGGATGTCCCAGATACCTGCTCGCTGGTACCGTGAGACGGGGCTGAGCCACTGATCTGTAGCTCTTCTTTTTCAGATCCGCAGATACCTGTTGTGGCGCAGCCCCCACCTGCCAGCGTGGAGCCCTTGCCAGCTGTCAGCACCAGGACCGATGCCTGAGGCTGGCGTCAGTCCCACCAGCTCCCCCAGGACTCCAGGCATGGATCCTCCTTTGGGACTGTCACTTTCCGGGACCCCGGTCACGCCACCCGGGGTGGTTCTCCAGCCTCAAGGTGGCTAGAATCTCAGGTTAATTTGGCCAGCATCAACGCAGAGGCCCTTCTGCCGCTGCTTGAGCTCCAGGGTGATGTCCCTGTCTCCCAGCACTGGTGGTGGAGGTGGCCTGGAGCTGTGCTGCTGCGCCCCATCCCCAGTGCCTCGCCTGCTGCTGTGCCCCGGCCCGGCCCTGGGCACCGGCAGCCGGCCCGAGCAGCTGCAGGTGGAGACCTCTCCGGGCCAGGCTCCGTAGCTTACGAGAGGTAGCTGAGCGTGTCCGAGACCATTAGCACTGTAACCTCTGGGGCTGGGCTGAGCCCGCTACCCGCCCTCACAGGGACCCTCCTGATGGATGCTGGGTGCCAAATGCTGCTTGTGGGGTTGGGGTGCCACCTTCTGTACCCCCTTCCTCTCTGCCCTGCCACAGCCCAGGGGCACTGGCTGCACCCCACGCTCGCTGCTGCTGGCAGGCTCCCTGCAGGGCTGGGCCCAGTACAGGCACTTTCCTTGGGTTTGTATAGGTTTTATGGGCACCATTAAAGGATGACAGGAGGGGAGCATGTTTCTGTGTGGTCTCTGTCTCATCAGGGGCTGCCTGAACACTGCAGCAGGATGTGCCTCTGCCTGGCCCTGCCCTGTGCTGGGGGGGGGGCTGTGGCCATGGGTCCCA